TCAATTTCTCTCTCTCTCTCTATATATATATACATATAAAATAACATATTGCAAAAAAACCCTTATTAGCTAAATTCTGAATTACCTTGTTTTTACCAAATTACTTTGACAGTTTATAAAACAGAAGTATACTTTAGAAATTTTTTTATTGCAACCCTTGTGAATATATCCTCGTAGCTGCAAATCCATTTAAAGATTGATGATTATCTTTTTTATATGAATTTAATATGTGATGATCATTTAAAAATCAACCAATCAGGCTTAAGCCCGTTATGCTGGTGATGTTAGTAAAGGATCGAATGTTATGTGTTGCAAAGGAGAGTTTAGGTATATTAATGGAGATCATATTGGAGTTATTATTTGGTAAGAAAAGTTATTGTGAATTACTGTAAGGACAGGAATCATAAGATATATATTTTTAAAATTGGGAAAGGCCTTTCAGAGCTTTTCTGCTTCCATATTATAATTAGTGTTAAGGATGTATGATGTTGATGTTTTGTCAATTTGAAGTAAGTCATTATGAATGAGAACTGCACAGAATATATTACAAGTGTTAACTAAGGTGTTAACTGTTTCAGTGAAGTTTTTGAGGCATAAATTTTGTACGTCTATGATCTCTGTAAGAGCTGCAATAGTTTGTTTTTGTTTACTAATAATTGATATAGATGCATCGACAACTGGGCTATTTTCATATTATTCTACATCATAATCAGCTATTGTTTCTTCATTAGAAAAGCTGACTTTAATATTGAATATTTGTTCGATTATCTTCATTTATTTTATAGTAGAGTTCAAGGTAAGCTTGAGATCATCAAGTTTTTGGGTGAGTTGCAGGAAACTAGCTTTGATGAAATCTTTAAAATCATTATCAGTATTTTGCTCATACATAGAGTTTTCTGCTTTTATTTCTATAGAGATGTTACATGATTTGTATTATTACTGATAGGATGATTGTATTATTGCTTCATATTCAGAGAGATATTATTACTCCAATCTGGTGATGGGGTAAGTGGTTGTTTTGGAAGACTATTGTTGTTATTCTTTAGCATAGAACGTGGATTTGTGAATTTACTAGTCAGGTTGGTTGGTTTCTGAGAACCATTTTTGACAATGTTAACAAAAGTGATATTAGGGCTAATAGTTCCTTTACGAGGACGAACTGGAACTTTATAGTTGTTATATTGTACCAATTAAAATCATTGATATAAATGTTAGATGCTTTTATCTTAAGAAGTGCGACATTTTTTCAAACAATCTTTGATTTTGTGATGCGATAAGAAGCAGATAGCACATAATTTAACTTTAGTTTCAGTCCATTCTATATGTTTTCCATTGATTGTGAGATTGTCATTACTAATTGCCACTTTGTAATCGTCTGCTAAGGGAAAATAAAAGAAAGTATATTGTAAATTGTGATAGTTGGATCTGACTTTAGAAATAATCCAGACCGTTGCATTAATCATTAGACCCAAATTAGATAAGTTTTTACCTGTGGTATAACGAGAGAGACATGTAAGTTTGGTTGAGAATTTGAATTGTTTTAAGATTTTGTTACGTGAAAAGTCACATATATAGAAATGAACCATGTTGTTGAGAAGGAAGATACCGTAACCTTTTCTGAGTTTAACAAAATTTGCATCTGCATCATATGTGATCATAGCTTGTTACTAGAGATTCTTTATTTCTATATTGAATCTGATGATCTTACCAAATCAGGAGAAGATTTTTTGATAAGCAATTCAGTAGTGTCCAATGGCATTTCAGTAACTTTGATTGATTATTGTAGAACAAATGAATGTTTTAGTACTATTTTGAAGGGTAAAAACATGTGATTTTTCAAATTAGACAAGATAAATTTGCAAAATACGTCTCTTTCGTTTTTATCGAAAAATGTCACTTTTAAGATTTTTTTTGATTGGTCCTCTGGGTGTTTAACAAGCACAACACCTGAAAATGAGTCGAATTGATCAAAAATAAGGTCAGTGATGTCAGAGATTTTTGTTTGAGAGGATTTTTCAGGTATTCATCTGCCAGAAAAAATGCGAAAAAGTTCATTTTTTTAGTGGAAATTTCTTGAGGGCTTTTCTTGTTCAAAAAATTTTCTGAGGTATCGTTAGCATCATTGACATTCATGAGAGCTTAGTTGGGAGTGACAACTAGAGTTGTTTCACCTGTAAAAACTTCTTTGCCCTTTTCTTTATTGAAAAGAAGAGGGTTGACGTCCATAATAATTGGAGTTTCTTTATTGTTGTTGTTGGTAGAGATACTACTTTCGGGTTCAGTAATTTGTAAAATGTTCTGTCTTTTACTTGGCTGTTGCTCTGGAATGCCAGGGCGAGAGCGAGATTATTGTTTTGTTGGTTTTTATTGTTCTCTTTCTTTGGTCTGCCCATGTTGCAGAAAGAGTTCCTAAAATTTATCATTATATTAATATATTAATTGTATATCTTATATTTTATAATAATATATTCATTTCGCATATTGTACTAATTTTAAATTTAAAAATTTGACCAGATTTATCTAAATTTTGGCCTACATTACATATATAATAAATGTAACTTATCACAGTCAAATGTAACTTACATGTAACTTTGTAACTTACATTGTAACTTATCATTGTAATGTAACTTACAACAACTCTAATTAGTTGCATTCTATGAATTTATATAAATTTTAACATCTAAAAATGGTAAATTGCTGATATTAGGCAATTGATCTTTAATTCATAAAGATGCGTTAAAATGCGATGTTATGTTTCTTTTTCTTTATAGAATAACTATCAGAAATTTGTTACTGAGATAATTTGTTATTAACTCGATGACAGTCAGAATAGCTCTTAGTCAAATTAGTAACGAATATGAATGGATATATAGATAAAAAAAAAAATACTTTATTTCCAAATCACCCATTTTTGATATAATTTAAACTTGTGGATCGTAAAAAGTTAAATTCATGATTGAGATTTTATCGCGTGGAGATTCGGAACCTATTTTTTGAATACAGTATGTAGAAATCTCGAATCTCTTCACATGAATGATTAAAAATGTTTTTTTTTTTAACCAATCAATTTTGGCTAGCCAAAATGGTCTAAATTGACGATAAAATGATCGGCCAAACTTAAAAAAAAAAAAAAAATTTTTTTTTTTTTTTGAATTAACCTTTAACCGATTATTATCAGATTTCGCGGAGAAGATATGTTTTCATTAAACAAAAAATCATTAACATTTATTATCAATTCACGTCCTTCGACTTTACTTTTCCTTCGTTCCAAACATACTAAAAGATCACAACGAATTCCGACCCCGTTTGAAAGAGCACCAATTATTATGCACAGTAAAGTCCAACAGATCGCTTTAGCAAAGGACGATGATAAAAGTACTACAGCGGGTCGTACTGTGAAAGTAGGAAATAATGCCATGGCTGGATATAGAAAATTATGGGCCATACTCAGTTTTAATAAAACTCGATATCAAGTTAAAAGGAATCGATATTATGAAAAGCCTTTTCTAAGAAGACAACGCGTTAAATGGGAATTTGAACAAAAGAAATTTAAGGATGCCGTAAAGAAAAAAATACAATTGATTTTACAAATGAAAGCAAGGTATGTGGTGTATAATTATTCATCAAGTAGGTTTTTTTTTTATTGAACTATTTAATAAATCAACTTTTATTTTATAGAGGTATATAACATCATAGTAAAAAGACATAGTTCTCCATAAGGTCAAAAGGTTTATTTGTAAAAAAAAAAAAAAAAAAAAAAAAAAAAATTAATATTATTTCATGATATTAAATCAATATATTATTATCCTCTTAACAATCGCTCGGTGACTCTTTCTCTTGCAGTATGATATGCTTGAATTAAAGTTTGTTCCGTAATAGGGATATCTGTAGTATCAGTGCGAGGACGAGATACTCGAGAAACAATTACACTCGAATCAGTTTCCAAAACAATTCTAAAAAAAAGAAACGTCAAGTTTCTTTCAACGTTAAAGACAATTCAAGATTAAATAAAAAGAAAGCTTACCCATCGTCTATTGTCTCATCCAAGGCGAGAACTACTAGATCAAGATTATCGACAAGTGTTCTTTTCTCGACTTGATGTCTATTCAAATTTTAAGATTTAGAAATCGTTCGATGAATTATTGTTATAGAATGGATGTTTAATACTTTACCTTAATAAACTTGATACAGAATCATAAAATGCGTTAAGAATATTGTTCAATATGAGTTCATTTTCCTCTGATGATCCAACAACGTAAAAAAAGACGTCGATACTATTTCGATAAAGAACCACTTGATTATCATAAAGAATGATTTCACCTATAAACATTTTAAAGAAAAAGGGATTAAGAACGATTCTTTTTTTTTTTTTTTTTTTCCGAATAATTAATAATTATTAGCAAAGTTTACCGTTTGCTCTTCTGGTTTTATCAAATAATCCCTTTTCGAAAACCTTTTGTTCTTTGGTGGTAGGATATAAGTTTTTGGTATCATAATATTTTCCAAGTATTCTATTACCCTCACTATCAAGGAGTATTACTGCAGTTGTTGTGTAAAGAGATAAATTAACCTAAAGCAAATGGGTAATCCTTTTAGCAAATTTATCTTTCTAAACGTAAATTTTAGACTAGAATATTACCATATTTAAATAAACAAATTTTTTTTTTTTCGTTGAAAATGATCAAAACCCCAAATATATTAAATGGTCAAAATAAGCTTTGCATTCTAATTGGCTAGTCTAACTGGGTTAAATCTATAACTCTTTTTCGTCTTTTTTCACGAGATGTCCAACTATTAAGAGAGAGAAAAAGGGTTGGATTAACATCATCCTTTTATCAATCCTTTTAATTTTTTTTTAAAAAAAAAAATTAAATAAAAATAATGAAATTTGACTTATCAATATTACCTTTTATATGAAGCGTGTGTTAATTTTTTCCTTCTTCAAACGAATTTAAAAAAGACGTAATGCAGATAACCATAAATTCTCGATCTGGGAATTCCCAAAAATTTCCTTTAACTATTGACATACCAGCTGACGCAACTGTTGACCAACTTAAACAAGCCATATATAAAAAAGCATCAAAATATTATCCTGACCGTCAACGCCTGACCGTTAACCAACAAGTCTTAAATGAAGGAAAAACTTTAAAGGAGTTTAATATTAAAGATGGAGATACCATTTCGTTTAAAGACTTGGGTAAACGATTTCTTCAAACTTGATTTAATTGATTGATAAATCCTTCTTTATTTTTAATCAAATCTTTAATAATAAAGGGCCACAAATTAGTTGGAGAACCGTATTTTGCATCGAATATTTTGGTCCTATCGTATTCCATCCGATATTCTATTATTTCAATTCTCAAATTTATGGTAAAGAATTTGAGCACAGCAAGATGCAAACGTGAGTGAATTAAGATTACATTCGATGATTCCTCAATTCCAAATTTTTTTGTTACTTATCGATGTGCATTTTTTCTTTCGTTAATTACTTTGATTAGAATCGCGTACTATATGATTATGGCTCACTTTATAAAACGCGAAATTGAAACTTTATTCGTTCACCGTTTCTCACACGGCACTATGCCTTTTAAAAATGTATTCAAAAATTCATTCCATTATCATGCGCTTAGTGGTTTAAACTTGGCTTATTGGGTATATGGTCCTTGGAATGCTGCCGGGAGTCTTGATGGTAAACGCGAAGATTGGCTGATTTGGACTTGCGCGGGAGTGTTTACCGTATGTCATTTATTCTAACAAATCAATGGATAGCGTATCGAATCTGATCACTGGACTTTTTTTTTTGTAGTGGGCACAAGTCTCTAATCTTTACACCCATATTATTCTACGCAACCTTCGTCCACCAGGAACTCGCGTTCGTAGGATTCCTTACGGATATGGTTTTAATTTGGTATCCTGTCCTAATTATTTCTTCGAGACAATCGTATGGCTTAGCGTTTGTATTTTAACCAAATCGTTTGCAGGTAATTCATCAATGGACCGATTTTATATGTTGTAACATTTGATTGATACTAATTTGAAAAAATTTTTTAGCTTGGCTATTCCTTGCCGTAGGTTTTACTCAAATGTATTTGTGGGCGATAAAGAAACACAAGAGTTATCGTAAAGAATTTAAAGATTATCCAAAGAATCGTAAAGCCATGATTCCTTTTATCGCTTGAAACACAATGGGTATTATTTTATTTATTATTAAACTATAGTAAACCTAATGATAATACCGGCTTGTCAAAATTAATAAACAATAACCCCTTTCACGGAAAATTTATCTCAGTTTTATTAAAAATATATATATGTATATATATTTATGTTTTAATGTAAGGCTATTTATTAAACCTTTTGCTTTTTGCTTGTGGGAATTTCTTCAATATACTCTTCTGCGTAATCCTCTGCAACACGCTTAAGCCCTTTCATTTTCCTTGTTTGTAATTTACTTAAATCTTGTTTACCAAGGTGAATACGACCAACCTTGTCTCCCATTTCATTAACATCGATATTCTTGATTTTCTTTGGCTAAAAAAAATAAATCATTGCGTATTAAAAATGAGGCCCTTAAAAAAAAAGGATATTATAAAGAAAATAAAAAAATACCTTATTGATCTTAGGGACTTTTGTAGCCAATTTGTATACATCATCATTGGCAAATTTAAATCTTCTAACTCTAAAAACATAACTTGGACCCATTTCTTCTAATTCAACTCT